GCGCGGAACGCCGGCGGGGGCGGGCGGGCGAAGGTGCGCCTCCCGGGGAGGAGCGGAGTGCGCGGCCGGCCGCCTTGCGGGCGCGCAAAGGGCGCGCGCGTCCCCCGCTCGGGCCGCCGTCGCCGCGCACTCGGCTGGGCGCCCTCTGGGCCGAGCCCCGTGCCTTGCGCGGCAGCCGCACGACCTGTCCGGCGAGCCGGGCGCGCCCCGGGGCCTGCCTTGCCTTCGCGTGCATGGGCGCGGGGGGGCGGGGGGGGGCAGCGTCTGCCTCGGGCTGCCTGGCTGCACGGTCCCCGGGGCGGTGGGATTCGGCAGAACGAGGGGCTGATTTCCAGCCGCTTCGTTTGGATGTTCTGCAAGGGTTGGCAGTGGTCGTGGTCTTTTGCTGGAGGAGAGCTTTGCAGATGCGCTTGGCCCGGCGGGCAGATACACGACTCCTAGGTCAAATCAAGACTGAACTTTCCCGAGACACAAAAATGGCTAAGCCGAGGCTGTCGTGCCTCAGGCATGTCATGAGAAGGCAGGACTGAGTGGAGAAGGCAGTCATGCTAGGGAAAGTCAAAGGCAGAAGGAGACCGGGTACAAGATGGAATCAGTCCTGCAAAGGAAACCGAAGCCTTGAGTTTCTAGGAGGCCTCTCAAGGTCATCCATTCAGAGGGTCGCCATAAGTCGGAGACAGCTTGATGGCACATAACAACAGCATTATTATTATGATTAAGGTTGGAAATTAAATATTGTTGTGCATATATTAGATTCCACTGAGAGTTCAGGGAGGTGTGCGCAGTGGAGTAGAGAGAGTATTGTTGTTATTTCTATACCAGCCAATCATCCAAGCTCTCTGGGTGGGGAACACTGGTTAACTGATGCAATAAAATACAAAATCAGATTAAACAGCCATAAATGCAGCATAACTTAGCATTAACAATTCTTAAGCTGCTTTATAACCACTAAGTGATGAAAACCCGTCCATACCAATGGACCCGCTAAAAAATCATCTGGCTAACTTGAAGGATGTTCTGCAGGCCATCTAGGGTACCACACAGGGTGGGGCACTTAAGGTGTGAGGCAAATTTAATCCTCTGATGGTACCAGTACATTCTGATGATGTTCTCCAGATGGATAAAGCATCTTTTAGAGCGGTGGGGAGCAACCACTGATCTTTGTAGATTTCCCACAGCTGCAGCTGCAGGACTCCCTCCAGCCATCCAGACTCAGTGTGCAGACGACGCAACACAGGCCGAGAGCAGTGTGCCTTAGGAATGAATTTCAGGTGCAGTGGCTGATGGGACACATTCCAGCTATGGGAGGACTGCGTAGGGAGGATGGAAACCACGATAGCATAGAAACCACTTGATCATCGGTTGGGTAGATGGTGGTAAAAAAAAAAAAAGTGAACCACAGTGACCGTGTAGTGCAGTGCATGTTGTCTGAACCCAGCCATTGTCCCTAGAATGGCTGAAAACGGCTGTCTCACAAAGAGGCAGAGCAGGGAGGCAAAGCTCACTTCTGCTGCTCTTCGGGGGCTGAACATGAGGCTGCAAGTTCAGAAGTTCATGTTCCACCCAAGTGGATTGAACCTTCATGGTGCACAGCTTTGCAACCTACGGAGCCATCGCCTTTTTCTCATCCCAAGTTGCCTTTCCTTTAACCAGTTACAAATTCAGCAGATGCCTTTTTCCTGAGATGGAAATGCAACGATTGGAAATGATTGTCTGCTGAATTTCTACTTGCTGTGCAGCTGTCACCAGCCCAGACAAAGAAATAAGCAAAACCTGACGGGAGAGTTTATAGCAATCGCCATGCTAAAAATAAAGTATTAAAAAAAATGGAAGTATTTCCAACTGACTTACAATGGAATGACTGTCAAAGAGGGATGGTTTAACTTGGAGTCCTGCACTGAGGAGGGGATTGGCCCCCCTGACCCCTTCCTACTCTATTCTATGATTCTAAGGAAATGAATTCTGGACTCAGGTACTAGTCGTTTAGGAGTCTGATGTGCCTGCAAAGACCAGTGTTTTATTGCTGCAGCTAAATCCCCGGCAAAGCCAGCAGGAATGCAGGGTTAGTGAACGTGCAGGGTGCCACCTGTGCAGGACTTCCTGGACCTCTGACATCACAAGGTTGTCACGAGAAATGCCATCTTGCCTATTTAAAAGCAGCTTAACGATAAGCTCAAAACAAACAAGGAAGGTCAGTGTGCAGCATAACGAGGGAGCATGCGACAGATTGATCTTTTGGGACAGTATATGAAGTATAAAATGCAAAGAACTTATCAAATGTAGACAATGGTGAGATGGGGGCACTTGGGGGAAAAAAACACCAGAATTACTGCCTGGTTTTTACCAGTGAGACCTATCACACTGATTTCAGGAAACAGTGTTTTAGCACTTTAAAGGACTAAAGATGCAATTTGTGCCTATCTGTTCAGAAGTACAGGCCATTGTGTTCGATGAGACTTATTCCTAGGTAAACAGATAGAGAATTTGCAGCTAAATAAATATATTTATAACCCTATTGAAGGCAAAATATTGCATGGGCCAGAATCCACTTTGCCATTTATTTCAGTGAATCTAATTGCTGCCTAAATTTGTCAGCATATTCACTACCTGGAGGAATTTTAATTGGTGTTAATTGGCATTTTAATTTTTGGCATTATACCCCAAACTGACAGATGAGCAATAGGTCCTAGATCAAATCAAACCAGAACTTTTCCTAGAAGCAAAAATGGTAAAACTGAGGCTGTTATATTTTGGGTACATCATGAGATGGACCATACTAGGGAAAGTTGAAGGCAGAAGAAAAAGAGAGTAACTATGAGTCCTGAGTTTGCAAGAGCTCAGCCGGCCTGTCAAGGACTGTCCATCCTGGAGGGAGCCCATTCATGGGGTCATCATAAGTCAGAGATGCCATGAGTCAGAAATTCAGTGCAACAGGGCGACTTATTTTATATTGTTAATTTGTTTTATATTTTTAATATATTTTAATTTATGTTGTGAGCTGCCCCGAGGCTTCGGTGAATGGGGCGGCATAGAAATGTTTTAAATAAATAAATAAATAAATAATAAACAACATACAGTGGTGCCTCGGCTCACAAACACCTCAGTTCCCGACCAAATCAGGTCACAAACAGAAATTTTGGCAAAATTTTGCCTCAGATTGCGAACTCTGCTTCGGGTGATGATTGCAATCGCACCCGTCTGCCCTGCACAGGCGCAATTGCGGTCATGCTCATTGGGGGGGGGGGGAGGTGGCTGGGATTGTGCGCGGGGGGGGGATGATCTTTGTTGTTCTTTGTCACATTGTTTCAAATTTTTGTGATAAAAAAAACCCAGAATGGATTAACCTTATTTACATTTAACCTTATGGGGAAATTTGACTTGGGTCACGACCAATTTGGGTCATGACCAGAGACCTAGATGGATTAAGTTCGTAAGCCAAGGTACCACTCTAATTGTACAGTCAGAAACGGTGCAAGAAGGGCCACTTTCCAATGAAAAAAGGGTTACATTTGGGGGGTTTTAGTTTAGGAAAAGGTGGATAAGGGGAACAAGACAGAGCTGTATAAAATGATACATAATCTGGAGAAAGTGGGTAGGGATTTGTGTGTCCCATTCATACCACCAGGACATGGGGGCTCCAATAGAGATAAATGGTGGGAGATTCAGGACAGCAAACCATTCCTTTGCTTCCATCTTCTAGGAGTGGGATATTTTCAGTGTCCGAAACTGTTAGAAACCCCTTACTTATGAAACCAAATACCCACTTAATGGGCTGGGTTCAGGAAAGTGATGGACAAGCAGCAAAACTTCTGCTGCTTCAATGCTGTATGGTGTATATTCTCTCCCCCTACAGCAGTATCCTGAGTGTGTTGCATTTGTATTATTTTATTCATTTATTTATTAAAAGCTTTTCTAACCCATCCACTACAAACATCTTGGGATGGCTTACAATAAATGAGTAGAATAAATCTATTGTCCTATAGAATTAAATTGAATACACTAAGAATCAAATCCCATTCATACTCCCACTCTGAATTAAACTTCCTGGCCATGATGGTTTCTCAGAAGGAGGGAAGGAAAAAACAAAATAGTCCAGAACTTTATGATGCATTTGTATTCTACCCTTTTCCTAAGGAAATTATGGTTGATGTTTTTAGCTTCTAACCCTGTGAGGCAGCTTGGGCTGACTCACTTTTGGGATGCACCATTAACTTCACAGGATTTTAACCTGTGCTTCTCACAGTTGCCAATCTAACCACTCAACAGACTGCCTCTTGTTACAGTCTGATGCATTGTAATTATTGTTGTTACATCATAGTTACAGTAACTGTATTTAAATTATCCATTCTGTGAACCTCTTAGAGCGCAATATATTCATGGAACATGTAGTGCATGAATGGGCTATGACTATCTCTAGGTATTCTTTATGGCTAAGGAAGAGGCCCTACTGGTGAGGCAGATGCAGAGAGACATTGTGAATGAGAATTTAATTCTCAGTTTGGCAAAGTTGCATTATTGCGTGATCCCAATACAGAACAGTTTCGGTCCACCCTAATGCCTCCCACAAAGCTACTAGGAATTTTACAAACATTTACTCAAGTCATATGTTTGCATGACCCATGGCACTCGGCAGAAATAAACTTACTTGTGTTTGCTGTAACTTGTCACTAATTTTCATAATCGGTTGGGCAATGCCAAGCAGACAGCTAACAACACAAGGTTATCTTTGGGGTGACTTTGATGACACAAATAAGACCTTGCATCAGTCTCCTTATTTGAGGTTTGCTGATTTTT